CACTCAGTGAGCTACCGGACTTTCAACCCTTATAGGTTTAGGGTTCAGGGCTTCAGAGCTTTAGGGCTTTAAGGTTCAGGGCTTTGGGGCTTGAGGGGTTTAAAGGTCAGGGCTTGGGGCTTCAGGGATTTACGGGTTTAGGGTTAGGGGTTTAAGGTTAGGGTTTGGGCTTTGAGGTTCAGGGGTTTAGGGGTTCTTACGTCTAGGTGTCGCGGTTGGAGGATTTTAAGGCTTTCGGGTTTGTGTTTGTTTTTTTGTTTTTCGTTTGCTGTGTTGAAGTTCAGGGTCTAGGGTTTTGGGCTAGTCTACCGCTGGGAGTCCAGGCGCCACAGGACAGGGCTTTTTGTCGTCTGCACGAATGCCAACCCTAAATCCTAAACAACAGACTATATGTTTTCAGAAGGAACCAAACGTACGTCCAGTAATCCTAGGTAGTTACGTAAGACATACCTTTGTCAGACAGAAATTCCGCCAGATAAATGATTCTCGGGCAGCTCGGGGCGTGCGGTCGACGTGAAGGGGTCTGCGCGTCACGGCTTTCTAGGTCGCTTCGTGATCATCAGTATAGCTGTTGCTATCATTACCAGGAGCCCCCAACGCCCTTTAATAGAGCCCCTGTGGCCTGTAATAGTGAGTATTTTGGGTAATTATATTAAAGAGTAGTTGGGGCGTCTAGGTACTTGGCAAACTATTATTCGTTGTGGGGCTTGGAGTATCCAGCCTTCCGGTAGCTCGCATGATTAGCATCGCCGTTGCTTGGAATTCCGGCGTCGCATGGTTACGGGGTTTACCCTGACCATCAAACCCTATCGTAAACCGAACCTACTTCTAGATGCTGAACCCCCAAGCTCCTACACCCTGAAACCCAAACTCCTAAACCCTGAAACGCCAAAACTCCTAAACCCTGAACCCCAAAGCTCCTAGAACATAAAACTCCTTAAGCTGATATGGCCTTTTGAGTGTCTTTGCTCTCTTGAGCTCCGGGGAGGCTTCCCCAACGGGGAGCCTTCGAGTGTCCACAAGCCTCCGCCCCTCTGGGAGCTTAAAGCCACCTGCATGCAAAGGGAAGGAAGCCTCATATAGGGGTCTGAATAAGTATCTATATTATTTTGGAGGTTCCGTGTTATAGGTATAGTATACTATACAAAGGGGAGGAAGCCTAATATAGGGGCCTGAATAGTTTGAACAGGGTTTTGGGGTATATTCCAATATCTTTTTGGGGGGTTCCTTGTTATACTTATAGTATAATGGGCCCAAAACCCTATTCCAACTATTAAGGCCTCTACATTTGGCTTCCTTTCCAGGGGCTTTAAAAGCGTCGATAAGGTGTCCATAAAAGTACCCCTAAACTACCCCGTAGATACCTGGTTACCTTAGATGTCAATCTCCACCACTACGGGCCGTAAGGGTTGTATCAGGGGTACCTTGGTGGGTCCTGGAGGATTTCGGGTTTGGAGGCATTTTGTCAGAGGACTCTATACGGAGACGGAGTCAGAGGATGAGGGTTGGGGTCTTCCGGGGTCTGGGCTTGGGGTGCTGGTGCGATGGGGCGAGCTTGGGGTTGAGGGTGTTAGGAGGCGTTTAGCGCCTTTAGGGTTGTGAGTTTGGGAGGGTGGAGGTTTAATGGGGGGTGAGGGCTTAAACCCCAAGTCCAGCATTCAGATAGGAACCCTTGCTGCACAAACGAACTAGGGCGGTAGTAAGTTGTCTGGCTGCAAAGCTTGCAGTGTCCTGAAGGCCTATCTTTCCTCCCCGTGCCTGACCTTGCCCGCGTCCACCCGGAATTGCTTTTAGCATTATGCTAAGGGCGTAGGTTTGGCGAGTAGGGTTTGAGTGAGAGCTGCAGGCCTTGAGGACTGCAAGGCTTGTTCGGAGATTTTCAGGTCCGGGTCCAGGGTCCAGTCTCAACATAAAATGTGGGAAACCTGAGTTAGAATCCCCCAGTTGTTAATGGGCTTTTTGATGTTGATTCTTGCCAGGATCCTGCACCAAATCACGGGAAGCCCAATAAAGCCCCGCACCCAACCCAAACCCGAAACGCTAAGCCCCAAAACCTTGAACCCCAAACTCAACCTTACAACCGAAGCCGCAAGGCCCTAAACCCGAGACCCCTGAACCAGAAAGACTAAACCCAATGGCCCTCTTATCCTTCTTGGGGTTCCTTACTATGGTTTAAAGTAGATTTCAAGTGGGCCACAAGTAAGCCCCGAAATCCTAAAGCCCTGCCGCCCTAAAGCCTTAAATCCCAAAGCTGTTCTCATATCAGGCCTGTTAGCAGCTCCTCTCGCCGGAGCAGCCTTGCCAGTGCCTTCTGGCAGCTCTTGTCATGGGATCCTTAGGGTGGATAGGTTTAGAGCTTAGCGTGTGGGGATTTGGGTTTCGGGTTGAGGTTTCGGATGTAGGGTTGGGGGTTTGAGGGTTTAAGGTCTTGGCGGCTCCTTTCATGGATTCCTTGCGTAGCAGATGTTGCGATGGCTACTTTGACCAGGGAACCCAAAATCCTCTAGCCTGAAGGGTTATGTTATGAGATTGTAGAATTATCATTTTAATACACCCTACAAATACAAGCGGGTTTGGGGTCACACCCTAAACCCTTATATTGGTACCTCGACCTTTTGGGAAAAGGCTGCTCTTTTCGAAAGCTTCAAACCGCGCAAGTGCTGAGGTGGTGGCATCCAAGCCTCTTGCTCCCGAGGAGGCCTGCAAAAGGAACACTAATATAGGGGGCTTGATAATTACCGGTTTAGGGTTTAGGATTTTGGGGGTTCCTTATCATAAATATAGTAACTATTAAGGCCCCTACATTATCGGGATGCCTTCTTTGAGGAGCTCCTCCCAGGCAGGGTTCTATAACAAGGGTTTGCCATGTTAAGGGTCTTCTAACACAAGGGCCTCAACATGTGAATACGGTGTTGGGGTTCAGTATATGACTATAAATGGGTTGTTCTCTAGATTAGGGTCAGGGTATATGACTATAAATGGGTTGTTCTCTAGATTAGGGTCCCTTTCAGAGTCTTTTTTCCAAGGGTGCCGTACTGTTCTGGTGACCTAAAAAAGAGAGAACTACGCAAATGCGGGGACTGTCACGGGATATGATTACTGATGATTCCGAACCCTACATCGCCCTGAATTCCGGAAGCCCTAAAGCTACAACCCCAACCGCTAACGTAGGGGCCGTACTAATTGGAATAGGTTTTGAGGGTGTATGGAAAGTTATACTATAACTATGACAAGGAACCCCCGACATAGTATTAGTAACCATTTAGGCCCCCAACAGTAGATGCTTAGCAGTCCTGACGCCCTCAACCCTAAACCATCCGAAAACCTTTTGCCCACAGCACGGAAAAAGTGACTTCAAAAGAAAGGAGAAAAAACATAAACTGGAAGGCCCAAACCCTTAAACCCCTCATCTCCTGAATCCTAAAGCTTGGAGCCCCCCCCCCTCCCCCTCTTAGGACTTCAACCCTCGGAGCTTCAAAATCCCTGCAAGTCCTTAGATACTGTAAGGCGCTTAATAATTGGGATAGGGTTTTGGGGGTAAGTTATACTATCATCCTAATAAGGAACCCCCAAACTAGTCTTGGTAATTTTC